GTGTGTGTGTGTGTGTGTGTGTGTGTGTGTGTGTGTGTGTGTGTGTGTGTGTGTGCGCCGCGCTCTATAGGGTATCAAATGAGGCGTGTAACAGTGTGTATAGTCGAACTCATAGCGAAGGTGTTGTTATACTTCCCAATGCGTGCGTGCGCGTATACGTGTGGATGCGTGCGTGCGTGCGTGCGTGCGTGCGTGCGTGCGTGCGTGTGTGCGTGCGTGCGTGTGCACGTGTGGATACGCGCGTGCGTGCGTGCGTGCGTGCGTGTGCACGTGTGGATACGTGCGTGCGTGCGTGCGTACGTGTGGATGCATGCGTGCGTGCGTGCGTGCGTGCGAGTGTACGTGTGGATGCATGCGTGCGTGCGTGTGCGTGCGTGCGTGCGTGTGCGTGCGTGCGTGCGTGTATGTGTGCGCGTGCGTGCGTGCCAGCGGTTGGAAGGCGATAAATTAGTGTCAACGACACGTACATGTCTGTGTGCGCAATGCACGCACGCACGCACGCAGACGCACACATATCGTATTCCGCCACCCGCGTGCTGGGACACGTTCTCTGCAACAGTTACACATGCAGCTTCCCCGCGCCCCGCACCACATACGTTCACACACCACCCGCGCTAGAACACGTTCTCTGCAACAGTTCCCCGCAGGTTCCCCGCGACCCCGCACCACATACGTTCACACACCACCCGTGCTAGGACATGTTCTCTGCAACAGTTTCCCGCAGGTTCCCCGCGACCCCGCACCACCTACGTTCACACACCACCCGCGCTGGAACATATTCTCTGCAACAGTTACACAGGTTCCCCGCACACCGCACCACATACGTTCACACACCACCCGCGCTGGAACATGTTCTCTGCAACAGTTACACAGGTTCCCCGCGACCCCGCACCACATACGTTCACGCACCACCCGCGTGCTAGGACACGTTCTCTGCAACAGTTCCCCGCAGGTTCCCCGCGACCCCGCACCACCTACGTGCACACGTACCACCCGCGTGCAGGAACACGTTCTATGTTCTCCGCACCACCCACGCTCACGTGTCACGCTCGTGCATCATGGTGTCATGTGCGTCATGATGTCATGTGCTTCATGATGTCAACACACAACACTGACCGGTGGACCGGGAGGGGCCGGGGGGTCGGTGCGACTCATTGACCTCAAGCTTAGCTGACTATGCATCACTTCATTCCCTGAGACGTATTCTATCAGTATATAATATCCAGTATAGAATATAGAGTATAGAATATCAAGTATATAACATCCAGTATGTAATATCCAGTATATAATATCCAGTATATAATATCAAGAGTAACATAATATAGACTAGATTGTAGATATCAGATAATATTATCTATATTATGACACTCCTGATCAAATTTTAACATTAGGTGTATAGACGTATGCTACGCGAGGAGTAAATGTTGAGCTTTTTAAAAGAATGTGTGATTTTTTATTCGCATGCACTCCTGGTTACATTCATAGCAAGAGAAG